AACTTTATTTACAGAGCACTTTAAAAACAACAACAGCCGAAACAAAGCGCTGTACATAAACATAAAACATAAAACAAACAATTATAAACAATAAAAACACTAAAACAAGAGCAGAGTCTTGCGCTGAGTTGAAAGCCAAGGAATAAAAATGGGTTTTGAGACGAGTTTTAAAATTGGACAGTGAGGTGGCTTGTCTGATGTGCAAAGGTAGGTCGTTCGTAAAGTTTGGGAGCAGCAACAGAAAAAGCTCTATCCAACCAGAGCTTCCTCCGAGCAGAAGCGTAGGGATGGAGCAGCTCAGAGAGGTACGGTGGGGCGAGATATCAGTTAAGTGGATGTAATGACTAATGGTCTCATTTATGAAATGTTATTAAATCTGTGAGGAGGTTTGCACATAAAAAACTTAAAAACTAAAAACCTACACTGGATTCATGAACACCACGGGGCACAATAGGCATGTGTTCATGTTCATGAACGCCAAACAATCGTAAACTGACAGCGTGCTACTGCTAGTCAGCAACTAGCATCCATCCCGCCCATGACACCATATATGGAGGTGATAATTACTGTGGACAGGTGCATCCTGTCGACCTGTGAACACATGGAGCAAATGAAAAAGACTTTTCCAAAGCTGAGGCTGAAGTTATTTTAGGTGAAGTTCAGGAAAAAAATAGCAAATATATATTAATTTGTTTATTATTAATTTATTAGTGGTGGTGTGACAGGGACAGGTACATCACAGGCCTGGAAGGAGGTAACAGGTGCCGTTAATTCTGCGTCCTCTGTTGTAAGAACCATCCAGGAAGTTAAAATGCTTCAAAATTAAACTTCATCCAAAAAACGCACACGCATAAAAAACCGCAACAGCTACAGGAGGCTCCGCCCAGTCACAGCAGCAGACAAACACATTGCTTACATCATCAGAGAGACAACGACACGCCTCCACTGGAGGTGTCTCTCCTGATTGGATCAGAGGGATGGCAGACATGTAGAAAACACAGGTATTAAGTCGATTTAAAGAACTCATTCACATTTTTAAGAAACCTAATCTGCTAATTACCAACTAATCTATCTGAATGAGTTTTATTTCTAATCTCCTGTCATATTTGACTTTAAAGGAGCACTAACTAGAGGTGTAATTTCATCTGGAGTATAGCATGACCTCACACACCCTCTCTCTGTGTTGATCTCCAGCCCACTGTTTACAAGCCGGTCCGGCTGCGCATTCATGTACGTTCATGTGAACGAAGTTGTCGGATAAAGAAAGGGACAGAACTCGGATTGACATTGGCCTTGTATTTCCAAGGTGGAGAGCACTGCGAGAGCTGAAGGGGCTACAATCTGACTCGGAGCTAGCTCTTCTTCTCCTGGACAGGTAACGTTAAAGAGGACCTATTATACTCATTTTCAGAGCAGAGGTAGAGGGAGGTGTGGCTCATGACACACCTTGTTTTGGTCTGCAGGCAGTGCACAACAGCAAACCTAGCGGTGAAACCATTTCGCTTTTTGCCCCTTTAATGTGTTTCAAAGTATTGTGAACATAACAGAGCACAATATGAATTAAGGTTGTCATTTCTAATAACAACAAGCAACATTTCTGTGCAATATCTTATTTACAAAAACACTAGGAGCAGTCAGAAGGGGGTGGAGATTTTGATTAGTACCTTTGAAAAGATCTGAGCTACTAACGTTTGATGAATGCTGAAACACAGTTACTTTTCCCTCTACAAATAGTTTACACGCACATTTGTTCTGCTCACGTTTCATGAATGAGACTACAAGTGTGTGAAGGCTAGGGTTGAGACTCGTTAGGATTTTAACGATTCCGATTCCTTACCGATTCCTACATTATATTCAGATTTAGAGCTTGTATCATCTCCCTGAGAATATATAACAACAAAAAGTGATTCTCTGATTTCTACAGTAACACTATTACCCCAAATTAACCACAGCAATGTAATAAAAAATACTTATATGCATTCATGCTTGGGCACTGTTATTTACACCTGAACAGAACACACACACATTGGCTGTTTGTTTCTACCTCTCCCCTCGCTGGAAGCGGACCTCCCGCCGCCCGCCTCCGCCTTGATTAAACGCTGAAAATAAAATAAAAGAGGGAAACAGGTGTCTCCTATTTTATCTTATTTTGTTATATTTCTACCACTCCCCTCGCTGGAAGCGTCGGACCTCCCGCCGCCCGCTCCCGTCTCAAACACGGAGGACTCCCTCTCCGCTGAGCACCCACGGCGCACGCCCGGCCTGTTAAATAGCCTGTAACCATGACAACTGTGTGACACAAACTCAGTGCTTTAGTCATTAAATAATGTCGGGCTCGGTCGGGTTCAGACAGAAATATACGGCCCGTGCCGCACTCTAATGGAAATGCACGTGATATGTTTTTTTTTTTTACAATCTAGGAACCGTTTGCAGGAACCGTTACTCCAAATGTGATGGAACTGGTTCCGGAACCGGAACTTTGGACCCGGTTCCAAAAAAGAACCGGATCCAGATCCCAACCCTAGTGAAGGCAAATAGTAGAGCAGCTGCAACAGTCTGGTGGAAGTTCAGGAAATGACATCACTTTACTGTAATGCAGCCTTTAAAACCAGGAAAACACAACACTAACCATAATCCAAAATCTAATACAACATCTATATTACAGGTCAGAGGATGGGGAGGGACACGTGCACGTCTGTCAGTGATATAATATCCAAACGGACGAAAAGTGTTTAAAGGAGCAGAAACAGATGAAACAGTGAGATCAGAGCTGAACTAAAAACACAGGCTACCCATCACCACCTGACTCTGCTGTGATCACTTTGAGTTCCTACTGTGTACCTGACTGACTAAAGACTGATTCAACTCATGTTACTTTGAACTTATGGACAACATTTTGTTGCTCAAAACAGGAACAGCAGCACAAATGTTATGTTGTTCACCGTCACTGCATCGAGGCAGAGACCGACAGATGTCCCAGAATCTGAGGACGAGTCAGAAATGACATGTTTGCTCTCTGTCATTTTGGAGACTGGCTCTTTAAAGTTCCTCTTAAATGACATTTCTATAAAGTTCTCAGTTTAAGGAATCTTTGGTTTGTTATTTGTGAAGCCTCCATGTCCCATCATGCTCACTGTACGTGCATACCTCAGTGGACTTTTAGACTTTATGTGTTATTGTTATTTTGATACTGAATGTTGAAGAACATTTTGTCACAAAGTTGGAGTTAAATGTTTTTCAGCAGTGTGAGAATCACATTTAATTTGATGCTAATACACAGACTAGAGTTGTATCCAGCAGAATTCAGTGACCTACTAAATAGTTAAAGTGACACACCTATTTTAATATTTCATATTACTGTTACCTTTACACAGGCCTACATTAGGCCATATGCATACTCTATATATATGGAAGTAAAATAGGGCTGCAAATAACGATTGCTTTCATTGATGATTAATCTATTGATTATTCATCTATCAAGCAAATACACAGCTTGAAATATATATTCAGTTTATGATGACATAAACAAAGAGAAAGCAGTAAATTCTCACATTGGAGAATCTGTAACCAGCAAAACCCGTCGCTTGACAAATAATTACAAAATAGTTACCGATTAATTTTCTGTCTGCTGACTTGTTCTTTAAATGTGAACTTTGAGGTTGATTTATATGAAGTCAAACATAGGACAGGCAAGGCAACATGAGAAGGAAATTAAATTATCTTTCTCAAATTTAAGGTATATATATGTGCTACTTTGAATATATGAAGCATCATCAAAATATATACGTGTTAGTTTTTAAATATAAATGTGGTTAACTCAGCCTACATCAAGCAGAATGCAGGGTAGAGAAGATGTACAGCACACAACCTTTAAAAATATGCTTCAATATAAAAATATGTAGAAAAAAACAAAACATCTGTTCGGACAGTTCAAGGTGAGTTAGATTTAAGACTTTTTAAGATTTTTTTAAATGCCACTCACAATGAAATTTACGATTTTGTTTTTTACAATAACTTAAACTTAATTAAAAACAAAAAACAAAACATGAAGTGACATCAATTATTTCAGGGCATTTTAGCTCAAATGGCAAGATGGACCAAATGTTTGTTGCAACATAAAACTTGGAAATATCTGCCGTTGGTTGGTGAGTTTTCTTAGTGTTTTGGTTCGGCTTTTCAGACGTTAATAAGACAGGCAGTCTAAGTTAAATTATTTTACAAAAATATCTGTTACAATTATTTTGAAATTTTACATATTCATAAAATCCTATTCCCCAAGTCTGAGAACTTTTAAGACTTTTAAATGTTGTTTTTAATACCAGCTAAGGCCTTATTATTAGATTAATAAATGAAATGCCTTGTCAGACTTTTTAAGGATCCTCTGGAACCCTGTGTAGTATTTTGCCTGTATGATCAGAATACAGGGTAGAAGGTGTACAGCCTCATTTAATGTTAAAGGTAAATATGCTGAGAATGTGATGAAAATATCAAAATATAGAATATGTACATACTAGTATTTTTAAATGAATGCAAGCCCAGGCTAACTACATGGCCTAATATAACGTCATAAAATGAAGGTAAATATGCTAGTTTAGAATATAAAAATATATTAAAATGATCAGAACAAATTTAATGTAAGTCTTGGCTAATATACGGTGGGACACGAAGGTAAACATGCGCTCTGGTGGGTTTAATACGAAAATATAACAAGAATAAGACATATGAAACTGCGTGGCGGTTTTAATGAGACACACTGGTTGATTTTAGGTGAAGATAAATTCTGCTGTGATGAAGACAAACACCGGAAGTGAAGCTAACTAATAAGCTTACTACAAAGGTAAGGAACCAGGCACGTGCAGGTTTTGTGGAATGACATGAGCCTATCACAGAGGAGCTGTCTGATGATGAAACAACCGAACAGAACCACGAGACGTTCCCCGCCACAGACAGGCTGTGGCCGTTAAAGCCAGCTGTGTAAACCGGACTGAACCGGATCCTACCGTTGGACCGGCGGACGATGTTCTCCAGGAACGTGTTCTGAGGGGCCACGAGACCCCGCCGTCCTCCCGCCATCCTGCCGTCCTCCTGCAGCGCGAGGCAGAGCTGCTTCCCGCCGCTCACATATCTGATGCTGCACGAGCCCCGCGCGCTGTAGAGTAGGAGCCTCGCTCTCCCGCGCGCTCTCTCTCTCTGTCAGCAGGCTCCTCATTGGCAGATGGCTGCAGCACGCGCTCCGAGAGCACCCTCCGCGAGGCGGTCTGCGGTCCACACAGCTTAGGACACACTGAGAGACAGGGACAGGGAGGGAGGGACAGACAGGTAGAGACAAACAGGTGGAGGGAGAGAGAGAAAGAGGGAGGGACAGACAGGTACAGAGACATGGGTGAAGACAGAGACAGACGGATAGAGACAGAGACAGACAGGTAGAGACAGGCAGGTGGAGGCAGACAGGTAGAGAGACATGGGTGAAGACAGAGACAGACAGGTAGAGACAGACAGACAGGTAGAGACAGAGACAGACAGTTAAGAGCCAGACAGACAGGTGGAGACAGATGGATAGAGACAGAGACAAACAGGTAGAGACAGACAGGCGGAGGGAGACAGAGAAAGAGGGAGGGACAGACAGGTAGAGAGACATGGGTGAAGACAGAGACAGATGGATAGAGACACAGACAGACAGGTAGAGACAGACAGACAGACAGACAGACAGGTAGAGACAGGCAGGTGGAGGGAGACAGAGAAACAGGGAGGGACAGACAGGTAGAGACAGAGACAGACAGTTAAGAGCCAGACAGACAGGTGGAGACAGATGGATAGAGACAGAGACAAACAGGTGAAGACAGACAGGCAGGTGGAGACAGACAGGTAGAGACATAAACAAACAGGTACAGACAGACTGACAGAGACAGACAGACAGGTGGAGACAGACAGGTAGAGACAGAGACAGACAGGTACAGACAGACAGACAAATACAGACAGGTGGAGACAGACAGATAGAGACATAAACAAACAGGTACAGACAGACAGACAGACAGAGACAGACAGACAGGTGGAGACAGACAGGTAGAGACAGAGACAAACAGGTACAGACAGACAGACAGAGACAGACAGGTAGAGACAGAGACAAACAGGTACAGACAGACAGACAGAGACAGACACGTGGAGACAGACAGGTGGAGACAGACAAATAGAGACATAAACAAACAGGTACAGACAGACAGAGACAGACACGTGGAGACAGACAGGTGGAGACAGACAAATAGAGACATAAACAAACAGGTACAGACAGACAGACAGACAGGTGGAGACAGACACAGACAGACAGACAGGTGGAGACGATATGATCGTCACAGAGAATACGACCCAAAACAACAAGCAAGAAATTAGAAAAAGAGAAAATTAAAAATAAACAAAGAAGGAAATAATACTGTGATATAATTTTAAAATGTAACAATAATAATAATCACAATAATAATAATAATAATAATAATAACAATAATAATAACAATAATAACAACAATAATAATAACAATAACAACAATAACAATAATAATAACAATAACAATAATCACAATAACAGGATGGACCTTATGTCCTCCGTGTGTCCCCCGTGTGTCCCCCGTGTGTCCCCTTTGTGTCCCCCGTGTGTCCCCTTTGTGTCCCCTGGCAGAGGCCGGGACCCTCAGGTTGGGAACCAGCACTGTGCACAGACAGATCCAGTTGATCCTGTGAAGATGATCCAGATCTGAGCTGAAGTGAATTTACATGACAGGACGGACAGTTTGAGTGTCTGGGTGAAGCACCATGTGTCCCCCCGTGTGTCCCCTGGCAGGGTGGACAGTGTGTCCTCTCTGTCTGTTGACTGCCGTCAGATCGCTGTGCGGTGTCTCCCCCTGCTGGTCAAACAGAGGCGGTGCAGGAACACCGACTGAAAAACAAGGACTGAAAACAAAAAGTCCGCGCTGAATCTTCACCAACATGACATCACTGTGAGTTCATATGATGTGGTGACGTCACGATGTTTGATCCGTGAATCAGCTGAGACATGTTTTCATCAGAGATCAGGATGTTTACACTTTGATTTCTGGGTCATTTTCATCATTTCCGGGTGTTTCAGACTCCATTTTGCTCCTCATGATTTTCATGTGACTTTTTCTGCTGTTGAATCTCAGTTTTTATTTTATTTCAGATTTATTTTTATTTTAGTTTATTAGTTTGTGTGGGCGGAAGGATCTGCTGCCACAGGCGCCGCAGCAGCTGGAGTCTCACAGCGGTGCGTAAAAAGCCTTCCGCCGCGGTGGTTAGACCCCGCTCAGCCACCGCTCCAAGCGGGAGGAATATCCGCCACATGACCCGTCGTGCATCTTGACATTATTGAAAACGTAGAGGAGACTGTTCCGCTGTGACATGTGAGGTGTTTGACCCTGAATGAGCGTTTATGAGGCGGTGGGAGCGAAGAGAAGAGCGCGACAGCGACACGGCCGGAGCAGCGGCGAGTGAGCGAACAGCAGCAGAAAAAAAACCTCCAGCTCCTGCTGACATTTTCTGTCCCGACACGGCGGCTTCAAATCGGTGAATCTGAGCGGAGAGATGCCGGGGATGATGGATAAAGGCTCGGAGTATCTGGGGAAGGGTCGCTCTAACGGCACCAAGAGTCCGTCCAACGCTTCTAACGGACATTTCTCTGACGAAAGCGGCAGCGACGACGAACACGGTGAGTATAGCCTCGAACAGCCTCCCGACGCTCCGTGTGTGCGCGTTAAAAACGACATCATGTGTGTATTAACTCAGTGTGTTGTGTTCATGCGGGTGTGTTCCAGATGTGGGGATGCGGGTCGGAGCTGATTATCAGGCCAACATTCCCGAGTTCGAGCCCGGTGAGTTTTTCCTGGTTTGTACCTGAGTGACGGACGGTGGTAGCCTCGGTACATGTACAGTAACACACACACACACACACACACACACACACACACACACACACACACACACGGTGCGTTCAAACCGTGACACTCTGAGTTTTATTAAGTCAGCGTTAATAAAGAAACAGGAGCCGAGGCTACCTCCGCTCTCACTGACAGCTTGTGACATTTAGTTTGTTCCTAATGAAGCTTCATGGAGTTGGGTTGTTTTCATTGCTCCTTGTTTTCCCTCCACAGACATTAATTAACAGAGCATAAGATATTATATCACCATCATTATTATTATTATTATGAAAGTGTTGATAATTAATAATAACTACTCATCATGAGTCGATGCTTCCTTCTGCACCTGATGCGTTAAAACAATGACAGAAAATATTAATTTAAAGCTCCAGTGTGTCAGATTCAGCAGGACATACATAGAACAGAATCAGTGTGTTTTCTTTTGTGTTTAATCAGCTGGACATAAGAATCATTGTGTTCTGGTTCCCTCAGAATGAGCTGTTTATATCTCCACAGGGAGCAGGTCCTGGTCTACAGAGATCACCATGCTGCACTGCCGTGTTTCTACAGTAGCCCAGAAGGGACAAACCAAACACTGACTCCAGATAGAGACATTCATGTTTTCACATTTTCATATCAGCCACCGTAGTCAGCAGCTGCTCTGTGACAAGCAGTGTCAGCAAAACAGACATTTTAATATGAAGCTGCTTTATTCAGTGTGTTTACTGGTTTAAAAGTCTCAGGATCCACACTGAAAATGTGCGCATGGACAAAAAATCTTCATCAGTTTGTAAAACCAGGCTGGAGAAGTTTCAGCTGGTTGTAATCTGTAGATGTTACCGTGAGACGCCACTAAATCCCCCTGAATCTGACGCACTGTTCCTTTAAGCCATTTAAGATCTAGTGACTGACTAAATGTCAAACTGGCAGCGCGATCGTTTCACAGAAACCGACGATAGAAATAAATCAAAAACTGAAGCATTAGTAAAATGTTTCACCTCAAAGTCTGTGCAGACATCCAGACTGTTGGTCTGCAGTGTGGGCCTGGAGACAGTGGGTGCTACATGTAGAAACAAGCCTATTGCTTGGTCACTGAGACGTTTAACCCGGGAGTAGTCTCGCTCACCAGAACTTACTCAAGAAAAGAAAGGTCTGGCTGGGCAGACTCTCACTTTAAGATTGGAGAACAAAACGCCCCGGCTGCTTGTATTTCTTTCAACCAATCACAATAGTTATAGGCGGTGCCACAGCAACAGTGCGCTTGCAAATATATTGCCGGGGGGAAACAGGTTTTGGTGTAACATGCCCACAAAAATATCGCCTACAGGATGCGAACCATGGCAGAAAAATGGCTACATCCCCCCAAGATCAAACACTGCAAAAATTAGTAAAGGACGTGTTGAACTGCTACACAACCGGAGGTGGTAGGGCGGGACTTCAGCGGGTGGCTCGTTCCGCCCAATGAGAGGCTGATCTTTGCAGCGAACTTCTGCCCACTCAGACTAACCCCGGAGTGACCTGGTTGATGCGCAAACTGTAGTTTGATTTACCGTACGCTGTGTTGCTTCTCTATTGAATCCACAGGTTGTTCTTGGTTGCAGCAAAGCAATTTAATTCTTCCATGCAAGTGTGAACAAAGTCCATTTAGCTCCAACAGAGACCAAACTCTAAGGGTCAAACACCTGACGGCAACAGCAACCCTCCTCTTTCACACCTGAGCATGAGAACATCACAGTGACACTCTGTGTTCCAAACAGTGGACTGCAAATTAAACCCTGGGTTATTGAACAAACATATCTGGCTCCTACACCACATTTCCCATGATGCAACTCAGAAGCCCCTTTCATGAGGTCGTTTAGGGCCGAACACATGCTGTGTCTTTAACCACCTGGATAACATGAGGTCGGGCGCTGGGTGCTGCTCTTGTGCCTTTTCTGCGCCAGCTTTCAGGAGCCCAGCGGCAGGTTGTGTCTGAGGTTGCTAAGCAACCTTAACCAGCAGCGTATCATCGCCTGTCTACCTGAAATCCCGAGGTCAGAGCTGATCTACTTCCTGTTTGTGTGTGGGACAGATGTGACAGCTCTGCACTAACATGATCAACTCCTCCTCCATGTTTATCACACACTGATATTTACTGAAGAAGCAAAGATATCTGTGGGCTGTGATTGGTTGGTCCTCGTCACATGACATGTGGTGCACACTGACGTGCTCCAAAAGTTGAACTCAGTTTATCTCAGGGTGCAGCCATCACACCTCGTAAAATAGGTGGTCAGGAAGGCGTGTGCTGTGACACCGTTTGAGCACACCTGCCACACGTCTACATTGACAACAATGAATTTGAGGGCATAAAGGCTTTGGACAGCTTCCTCCAGAGCCACAGAAGATATTTGATCATAGTTTAAACTGAGCATTTGGTGTAAAGTTGGCAGAATGAGCCTTTAAAGTCAAGTGTTCTTCCTGTTTGTTCAGGTTCCACTAAGTACACGGACAAAGACAGCGGAGGGATGTTGGTTTGGTCTCCGTATCACACCATCGTCGACTCCAAGTGTAAGTCGCCTTTGTGCACACAGCTGCAGTCCTCTGTCAGGTCCTCAGATCACACTGAACTGACTGTGTGTGTGTGTGTGTGTGTGTTTTCCTCCGCAGTGGACGAATACATCGCTTTAGCCAAAGAGAAACATGGATACAACGTGGAGCAGGTGAGAACGTCCTGTCTCTCTGTGTCTGTCCTCAAACACGTCGTCTTTCTCCCTAAAACTCCCAAAACATCTGGAGCCAGTCGTACACATGACATGTACGCACAAAAATCATCTGTACACCTTTTCCCACATATAAACTGGTATGTGAACGCCTCACGCAGACTTCAGACCAGCGTACACTCATGTTGTCACAATACTTTTAACTTTGATACAATCCCAAAAGGTCGATATACGGTGAGGGAGAGATGACACTGAGGGCACACCAGTCCAAATGGTTTATTGAAAAATATTACAAGCGTGTAACACAACAACAGCGACTTTTCTTTTCTTGGTTAGCAGCAGAGAACATTATCCCTCAGGTCTTCTAAACGTGGGAACACCTGCTGAAAATAGGTGAGAGAGTCAGCTTGACTGTGACATCATCATGTTTTAACGTCATATCTCAGGAACAGAAGGGGAGACATTTGGTCAGATACTGAATTGGTGACTCTAATCTTGAAACTGTGCTGATTGTATAGATCTTCTGTGTGTGAAGCATCCATGTTTTCACTGACATGGATGGAGACTGTCAGAGACACTGGACTGGTGGGCGGAGTCATACAACCACAGGGTGGACTGGTGGGCGGAGTCATACAACCATGGGCAGGGATTGTAATTCTTCATTATCTGGTGTGTCACATTCAGTGTGGTGGACAAGTCAAAAATCAGGTAGCAACAGAAAGCAGGATGGAGGCCAGTGAAAATGTTACAGAGGTTACTTCCTTTTTATGTCTCCTCACGAACGACAGCTTTGACCAGAGGTATTAAAATATGATGAAGAACTTTTAAACACTTAGTTTGTAGGGCTGTAGTCTCCTGGTCGACTGGTCGATTATTTGGTCGCTATGCTCTCGTCCGACCAAATTCTCATTGGTTGAATAATTGCCGTGTTACTTTCATAAAGAGAAAAGTGCCACATCAACAGCTTTCCAGGATTAATCCATTATTTCCTGCGGCGGGGGGACAGGCTAAGTTACCTGTGAAAACACCCCCTTTGTTTTTTTTTTAAAGATATTTTTGGGGGCTTTTTAGCCTTTAATGGACAGGACAGACAAGTGTGAAGGGGGAGAGAGAGAGAGAGAGAGGGAGTGACATGCAGCAAAGGGACACAGGCTGGAGTCGAACCCAGGCTGCTGCGGCAACAGCCTTGTACATGGGGCGCCTGCTCTACCACTAAGCCACCGACGCCCTGCCCCTTTGTTTACACAACGTTGAACTCGCCCACCCTCACACTCTTGTCTGTCTCTGTAAGCTGACACCATTTCCATCAGTGGAAACAAAGCTTTGATTTACTTTAACTTCACAGATAAGAAACAATAAATTGTGAAGACAGTAAAGCCTCCACTAGAATAGCATTTTAAGTCCTGTGTGTGATTTATCCTTCAGGGATTTATACTTCAGGATTTATCCTGGCTGAAATATGAGCAGAGGAAATCTGCGCTCGTCGCTAGGCTAATTTATACAATGTAAAATGTATAAGACAGTTGTTTTGTCAGTGAACCTTGTGAGCTGTAATGGAGCCAAATTATGTGCCGTTACCTTTGTTACATGTTGCTGTTGTCCCTGGTTTTATATGAGAAGAGGAAAAGATCGCTAGACGCTAGGCTAATTTGCATAATGTAAAATGCCATAGGCTTGTGCTAATAATGTTAGCATGTTGTATTTGTGGGGAAAATGTGTCCACATAAAGACAAGTGTTTGTCTGTGAATGCTGCGAGTTATAGTGAAGCTGATTTGTGTTTGAAACTGTCTCTATTAAGCCATGTGTAATGTGTGTTTAATGTGTGTTTAATGTGTGCTTAATGTGTGTTCAATGTGTTTTGAATCAACTAAACTTTACAGCACTTAACACAGTCCTCCACCGCCGACTAGAGTTTTGGAGGTGTAACTGCAGAGTGACACAGACACACCACCGCAGAAGTAAAAATAACGTGCAGATTTTTTTACCCATGACTAATCGATTAGTTGAAGATTATGTACGACTTTAGTCGACCTTGATTTTCTTTGGTTGACTACAGCCCTACTATTTTGTTCCTCACACTGTGTGTGTGTGTGTGTGTGCAGGCACTCGGCATGCTCTTCTGGCACAAACACAACATCGAGAAGTCTCTGGCCGACCTGCCGAACTTCACCCCGTTTCCAGACGAGTGGACGGTGGAGGACAAGGTGCTGTTTGAACAGGCCTTCAGCTTCCACGGGAAGAGCTTCCACCGCATCCAGCAGATGGTAAACACAGTAATATTCCTGCGTTACAGCCACGGAGACGAGTACGTTTACTCTCTACACTGCTCTGCATACATCTGATGGCTGTGGCTTCTTCCTGTCTCCTTCAGTTACCGGACAAATCCATCTCCAGTCTGGTGAAGTACTACTACTCCTGGAAGAAGACGCGCTCCAGAACCAGTCTGATGGACCGTCAGGCTCGTAAACTGGCCAACAGGAACAACCAGGACGACAGGTACGCCTCACTGATCAGCTGTGATGAGCTCAGAGCGCTTCTGTCCCAAAATGTCCGCTTATGAAGAAAGAAATGGATCAATAACAGTCCACACACCATCTGTGACTCGTGCACGAGCGTCTCGCAGCTCTGTAGCACTCACAGGTTCATCTGGAGTTTGTAAAAGACGAAATCTGTTTGTGATCTGTGTGCGAGGAAAACCAAGTCAGACGAGTCTGTGGACTCATTTTAAAATAGGTATTGAAAAGAAAGTTCTTGTTTCAGTCCCAGCAGGTTGGAACTCGTTGCTTTGAACAGCAGGTGGCGCTGCTGCTCTGCTGCGTTTGTCAGACTGAAGCGTGAGAGGCGGAGCTTCAGAGGAGCAGGGTCTGCTGCTATTGGTCAGATCAAAGATAGAAAGAAAGACAGAAGCTGCGTCTCTGTTTCACTCTGAAAACTCTGAGCAGGGTTTGAGTCTGACGGTGTTTCAGGGCCACTGTGAGTAATAAATAAATAAATAAATAAATATAAATCCAGAGCCGGGGTAGGGGCGATATATTCCTAGAAAAAACTCTGAATTTTACTAAAGCTGTTAATTTAGGATAAAAAGCTCAAACATTCATTGAGATTTTATTATAATGAGTATAGTCAGTCCTGTGATAGTCTGGCCACCTGTCCTCCACGATGAACCCTGCCTCTCACCCAGTGTCAGCTTCCTGTACTTACAGCTTATGAATTACATGTGACGTTTATTTTTCTGTGTCTCCTGACAGAACAGCTCAGTATAATTTCAGCATGAGCGTTTTTTCAGCCGAGCATTGTTAAAACAGCAGCTGATGTTTCTGTAGGGAGAAGTTAGTGGAGGGAGATGGCGGTCCAGGCAGGAAGCGTAATGTCGTGTTTTATCTCGTAACAGCATCGTTTACATACGACTTGTCTTCTGTCTGTTGACCTGTAATCACTTCCACTCTGCTGATTTACTCCCGAGTTAACAACGTTATCCATCTGTGTTGTTGTTGTTGTGATGACGTGTACTGACTGAATTTTGACTTCCTGCTGTTGTTGCCACAGCGACGAGGAGATGGAGGAGGCCAATCCCATAGAAGCCAACGACAGCGACTACGACCCCAACAAGGAAACCAAGAAAGAGGTACGTGGACACACCTGAGCCGCCGCTCCTCTCGCCTCTCACTCTGTACATCCTCGATTCCTTTCCTTGCCTTCTCTCCTCACATCTTAGTCCCTCCCACCTGAGATACAAGCGGAGGTGGCAAACATGGCTGGCCTGACACTTTTTTCTTTAACTCATAAATAACAATAATAATCTGTCTCTCTGTTTCTCACACACATACACATCTAATAATTAATAAACAGTGTGTTTTATTTGGTAGGAAAGCATCACACAAGCAAAAATAAATTATGTGAGTTCTCTAGTGCCTACGCTGTACCAACTGCAGCCTGTGTCTAAGTTTAAACACTCAGGTTTCTCTTTTGTTCTTTAAATATTTATCCTGCTCAGAAACATTCATCTGAAGCTATTAAACAACAACTTTAATTTAAAAACGGTTGTTAAAAAACAGTGACAATATTCTGGTGATTAAAATGTTCTGAAGCTCAAATCTGAGGCTGTTGTGTAAATAGCTTTCCAATGAATAACAAAAAAGCAACTTCTGATCAGCCCGTATCAATTTCAGGCTTAAAACACTAACTTCCTGTTTAAAACACACCCACTTCCGGCCCAAGCCCCGCCCCCTCCGAGCATGGATACGGACACAGATAATGGTGCACTCGCTCATCCCTAGTAGACACATAAAGCAGCTGTGTGTGTTTCCTCCACCTGCAGAACCAGGTGGAGCCGGTGGTGCCCGGCTCAAAGGTAGCTCTGGGTCGGCGGGAGCACCAGACCCTACAGCACCGACACCACCAGCGCTCCCGCTGCCGCCCCCCCAAAGGCATGTACCTGACCCAGGAGGATGTGGTGGCCGTGTCCTGCAGCGCCTCCGCCGCCAACACTCTCCTCCGTCAGCTGGACATGGAGCTGGTGTCCCTCAAGAGACAGGTAGGAGACGCCAAAACTGTTCTGCACCAACTCCGACTCCGCCTCCTCTTCAGAGGATGATCTGAGAAAACTGAAGCAAAAATAGAAAGAATTTATATTTAACCACCGCGGACTCAATCAGTGTGTCTCCAGTCACAGTGAAGTGGATCTCCAGTCCCAGCTGGACGAGGACATCTAACTGGCCTACTGTCCTTGTCCCAGTATACAAGCACGGGAGGGGAATCCATTTATTGAGCCAAGTATGTGCGACTCCTCTACGATAGGTGGAGATATGCCCCCTTTCAGCTTGTTAGTATTGGACCTTTTTCCTGTTGACCTATTACGTCACAGACCAAACAACGGACAAACAAGTTAGCTACGGTTAGCTAGCAGCTAACTGCTACCATGGTGGACAACTTTACAGCTCTGTACATTTGGTGCGTCCAAAAAGTCACGGCTCTGGATGTAGATTTCTCCATGTTGTTACCGGCTTCTTCTTCTCTTACACATTTAATGCTATTGGACTTCCGGGTCAAAGCCCGGGGCGGAAACTGTGGAGCATGCTCAGATCGCCTCGGCCAGTTCGAAGTAATTTGACTCCCGATCGTATTATCTGGGTTAGTTCGACCACTATGGGAGTAATGTTGCTACTCGTAGTGACGCCACTGTTCAACACTGATGACCTAACAATGAGAAATAGTGTTGGACGTGATTTTGATTTTGGGAAAATGATATTGCACTACACAGACCAGTGATCATGATATTTAAAAAGTCGTAACATACATCATGTTAAAGTTGTAATGCACCTAATGTAGGTGAATATTGTGTCTCAGCTCTCGTCTCACAGAAGGGGGAGGAGTTATACAGGTTGATGGCCACAGGTAGAAAAGATCTCCTGTGACGGTTTGAAACTCGGTGTTAGACCAACAAAATTATAAGAACAGATGGAACCTGATAACAATTTGAGCTGTGCACGTGATTCTCAGCTCTACATGCACGTACCGTAACATGGTACAGCTGCTAACTCACGTATCAGCCGAAAGACTCGTGTAGCGGACAGTTCTCACACGCTTCCATCCAACAGTCTGTATACGCCACAGTCCGATTTGTCAGGCAGTGAAACACATGTCCAACAGTAACGTCACAGAGTAAACAGAGGACACTGACAAGACCTGGACAGACAAGACAGGTGGACTGGGAGTTATTTAATTTTTGACAGACGTTCACTGCGGATGAGCGGCGTCTTCTAGTTTTACCTTTCAGCCACCTTTCAGTGTACTCTTCTTCAACGTTTGCTTTACTTCCTGGATTTTTCCCACATGGAAATTCTGACCAATCAAGAGCAGCTTTCTCACACAAGGCATTTGATCTGGTCCTCTTGTAAATGCTGCCGTGAGAACACCAACCAACTCTAGGCAATTATACAACTTTGGAACAACATGAGTCCCTGATTCAGACCAAAGGAGACCACTCTAGGGCTGACAGCAACCTAAATGACTTAATACCTGTGTTTTATACATGTCTGCCATCCCTCTGATCCAATCAGGAGAGAGACCTCCACAGGTGTATCTTCTGTTTGAGTGATGACACTGTGAGACCCACGTTACTGAGCAAACACTGAGCTGTCAGTGATGATGTCACAACATACAGAGATTTAACACTTAATATAACACGTACATCACCGAAGCTTCTGACTTTGACTGACTGCTCCAGTGGAAGCGTGTCGTTGGCTCTCTGATGATGTAAGCAATGTGTTTGTCTGCTGCTGTGAGTGGGCGGAGCCTCCTGTAACTGTAAACCACCACATTAGCTGGGCTTAGCATTAGCATGCTAACATTAGCAAGTTGTTGTTAGCACATCAGATGCATCTGTGTAAAGTGACTCACCAGACGGTCAGAGATCATCACAGAACATTCATCCAGTCAGACTCCACTCTCTGTGGGCTGTTTAGCTCGTGTGTGTGCGCACAGGTTAAAGGACCCCAGGTGTGTCCCTGAGTCGTCCTGTGTAGTGCCTGTCTATGCCACCTCTGTGCCTGGGTTGCACTGCCCCCTGCTGCTCAGACATGCAGGTGTCAGACTCCTTAAAGGACAGTTCAGATATATCTAGGTGAGGTGTATGACGTTCTGTAAATGACATTTTGAAACAGAGAAACAGTGAAAGTCAGACTTGAGTTTTGTCGGCGCTCAGCTGAGTGTTCATGTCTCGTTTTTCAGGTGCAGAACGCCAAACAGATGAACAGCGGCCTGAAGCACATGTTGGAGTCTGGGATTGAAGAGTTCAGACTGGCTGAGGTACGTCACTGAGGGTCACGTTTTAAACCACCAGAACACGAAACATCACCAGGTCTCATAGAGTAACTCCACCCAAAGTTACTTTACACACAAAATAATTCTAGGAACATTTCCTCCACATAAACTGAACATTATAGGATCATAATACATTAGTTTAGTTTCATTAGACCGAAGAGGTGGAGCTAATAGAGACGACACTGAGCGCAGGAATGGAAACTAATAAAGTACATTTACTCAAGTACTTCACTACTGCTCGACATCTCAGAGGGAAATACTGTACTGATTACTGCATTACTTCTGTCTGACAGCTTTAGTTACTTTACAGAAGATTATAAAAACAAAATATGATCAATTTGTTAAATATGGTGCCGTATTGTAGATAAAACTACTACAAGTACGGCTGGGAGGTATTTTTAGGCTACGTTGCGATACACAGTATCTGTCGATCCATTGATAGATGGATATTTTCAAATCACCTCTGAACTACTGTGGACTAAAATACTAAACTACTAAATAAACAAGTTAGAGTACTGTTATAATAAAGTTAAATACTGTTATGATTACAATAAAGAATCTGAGGACTTCCTGTTTGTTGTTGCAGTGTAACCAGAAGGTGAACGCCCGCTGGACCACAGACGAGCAGCTCCTGGCTGTTCAAGGTGAGCTCGGTCACAGGTAACAGGTTAGAGAAGGTGCACGGAGCTGAAGTCCAACAGGATGAACGTGAACTCTGATTTTACTGTAAAGTCACAGTGAGACGGCAGACTGAGCGTCTTTATCTTCGGTCATGTGACATTTAACAACATCAGAGCTCAGAATATAAACTTCCTCTTCGCTGTGTCGTTAAAGCTGCAGTTTGTTAACGATGGATCAGATGACGGCGTGTACGTGAGCGGGTCGTTCTTCGACAGACACAGAGAATCAGCTACATACCTGCAGCTCTACAGAGCTTTTTAGCCTCTTTTAGCTCCTAGTTTTGGTTTTCAAGCACATTTTCTGTCTGTTTTCTTAATATTAAAGGCTCAGTGTGTCAGATTCAGGAGGATTTTGTGTCGTCTATCAGATTACAACCAGCTGAAACTTCTCCTGGTCAGAATTCTTTCAGTATTTGTTGTTCAGGAGCTGAATTATCCTCAGGGGTCTCTTCCTCTAAAACACACACACCAGCTGATTTAAACTTTAAAAACACTGAATGAAGACGTCTCATGTTTATAAAAATAGGTGTTTTTTTGACGCTACTCATCACGGACAGGCTGCTAACAGCCGCACAAACAGTCCTCTCCAGAGCCAGTGTTTGGTTTGTCTGTTCTGGGCTACTGTAGAAACATGGCGGTGCAACATGGTGATCTCTGTAAACGAGGACCTGCTCCTTGTGTAGATATAAACATCTCAATCTGAGGTAACAAAAACACAATGACCCATATTTTCAGCTGATAATACACTAAGGAAAACAGGCTTCTTCATATTATATTTCTGCCGATACATCGACCTGAATCTGACACACTGGACCTTTAAGGACAGTCAAGACTTGGAGCTCGACTGGCCATAAAAAATGATGACTCCTGTTAGTCCTCAATTTTCCCTAAAAACACAGAGCCATTGAGATCTTTCTCTCAAAATCTTATTTCTCTTCTTCTGCTGTGTATCGTTGTGGCAGTTAAGGACTTGATTACATCTCGACAAACCGTCTGTGATGTTCTTCAGGTGTGCGGAAATACGGCAAAGACTTCCAGGCCATCGCTGACGTCATCGGTAACAAGACGGTGGGCCAGGTGAAGAATTTCTTTGTGAACTACCGGCGGCGGTTCAACCTGGATGAGGTGCTGCAGGAGTGGGAGGCGGAGCAGGGAACGCGAGCTCCCAACGGAGACAGTGTCACATCTGGAGAGGAGGGAAAGACCAGCTCCACCACTCCGTCAGGGAAGAGCACCGACGAAGAGGACGAAGAGGTGAGACATTTAATTTTTATATCCCACACAGTTTTTCTGATGCACATTCTGCAATACGAGCATGCTCCACAGTCCTGCTGATCATTTGTCATCCATCAGCTTTCAGACGGATCTCCTTCCCTCCAGGTTTCACTTCATGTTTTAAAATAAAAACAAAACTGCTGAGACTCAAAGATAATTCACTGTAGTCAACATCTAGTCTACCTGCTGTGTGACGTCATCCTGTAATGATGCAAACGAGTGTTTCAAAACCTCCAGAAGACTCTCAGCATGTGAAACATCTCCGTCTGCTGCTGAAAAGCAACTGTTTGAATGTTAAAATGACTTTGGCCCCGCCCTCTCCTCTCTGCAGGGTCAGGTTACCTCCTCAGGTGCGTCCCCCGCTGCCTCCTCTTCCTCTTCAGCTCAGATTCCAGTGATGTCGAGCGCCTCCTCCTCTTCCTCCCTCCACCAGCCCCCTCCCCTGCTGCGGCCCTCCCTCCCAGCCACGCCCTCCCTGCACCGCCAACCCCCGCCCCTCCAACAACAGGCCCGCTTCCTGCAGCCCCGCCCCACCTTGCAGCAGCCCCCGCCTCTCATCCGCCCCTCCAACCCCCTGCCCCCTCGCCTTAACCCACGCCCTCCTGCTCCCATGACCCTCGGCGGCAACCCTGGGGGGTCAGGTCCAAGCTCCGCCCAGCAGCCCCCTGGCTTGGCCATCCACCAATCAGAGGCCTCGTCTTCCTCCCTCCACTGATGAACGTCAGACTGTTTCTGCTGAAGAAGATCCGGTTCAGGTCCTGTGGGAAATCTGAGTGACATTATTCTTCAAAACAACAACAATTTTCAGACCAGCCTCTCAACTCTCACCATACGTCAACATAAAGCCAACACATTTATACCAAACACAATCAAATCATGAGTTCTTATTTATCGGTATTTAAGAGGTGGATGTTTGTCTTTCCCACAGGACTTACATGCAGCACACCTGCTGGTTGATGGACACCTGGTTTTCACGTCTTTGCTTTGTGACAGAGTCTTTGGAAATCTGCCACCAACTGTGTGCAGATTATAAAAGCAGAAGGTTCTGTGGTGTCCCACAGGGTTCAACCCCGGGGTCCCTTCTTTTTCTCCATCATTATGTCTCCACTGGGACATTACTGCATCAACCACAAACAAAAATGGCCCCCAGCAGTACCTGTAAAACATTTCAAAGAGTAAACATGATTTAGTCTCTCATCAGCAGCCCATCGATGCTACAGTCTGGATGTTACAATATTTTATACAAACTCAGTCTGAAATAACTTTAAATTAGGAACTTGAGTCAGTGTCGTTTCTTACATTAAGAAACTAAACATTGTTTTATTTTAACTACCATCTTTCATGAGTTGTGTTTATCCTCCACCCTCCAGAGCTCACTACATGTGTGTGTACAGAGTCTCAGCTGACCTTTGTGTTTGTCATCCCCCTCCTGCTGATTGGTCGGTCGAACACACTCCAGATTGTTCCAGAACAAAGTCCCTTAACAAGTATCGGCTGTACTGACGTAAAACTTTGGATACGTACACCTGCTCCTCAGAGGATGAACCCTGTAGATTTTATGACCCAGTGATCTTTCCTCTAGCGCCACCCTCAGGACAAACTTTACATGTTGAGCTCTGCTGCTGGTTAAACTGTAAGGACAGATAAATTATTAGAATGTTGTTTGTTCATGTTGTGGCTGTAATGGACTGTGCAGCCTGTAGGGGGCACCAGCGGGACTTTAGATAAGTCAGTTGTATTTACACCCAAAATCACACAGTGTTCCAAAGAGCTTCTCTGCATACGACCTGGAAAAACTGGAGGTTGATTTAAAAGGATCAGTCTGGTGTATTTTTCTTATCGTCAACACATCTCGCGTTCAGACTCAAACCAACAACATGTTGGTCTGTCTCTCATTACGATCTGACTTCCTGTCTGTGACTCTCAGCTCCGAGCTCATTGGTTCCCACTGTAGACGTAAATCTTAAACCTCCTGCGGCCGTGCGTCCTCACATGAGGATATTACGTATTGGGTCTGCTGCACCTAATACATCATAATTTAGACCTGTTGTCCTCGTGCATGGACACTTTTTTGTGCCATCTAGTGGTCGCAAAAACACAACACACTAATCCTGCCGAGTCAGCCTGCAGCAGATCCCAACTCCGCAGTGGACAAAACCTGATCGGATTTTAAACTTGTTAATTTATGATTAATAATGTTCAACGTTTATAAGACAACACATTTGACCCACTTTAGCGACAGTAACAAGTTAAGACACCGTTAATTAGGAAGTACACATTTGAGGACTCTGGGACTTTAGATTATTATTCTATTATTGCAGCATTTCACATTTGGTTCAACGGAAGGTGAAGATTGAGGGGCAGAGGCTCGACTCAGATGCAGCTGTCAGGAAAACAACACACTTTTAATTGAGAACTGATGCCATGGGCCAAATTTAAAAACAATATACTAAATTATTAAGAAGCAATAGAAAAACATGTCTTGCATAAAGGGCTCTTATCATGACAGAGGAAAAAGTGGCAAATGCTTCAGCGCCACCCCGGGTCGGTCTGTGCACGTGCCTGAATCCAAGAAGTACAGAGCACGGAAAATTGATAGAGTTTCAAAATGAACAAATTTTTCTGGATGTGTTGCATTATTTACAGTTTAGATTTTGCACAGCCAGGTTCAAGCGTTGAAATGAACAATGTTAGACTTGAACAGTGACCTCTGACCCACAGTTACACTGAACACATGTCGCGTTGTGTGTTATTTAGTTTTGGCAGAACAATGTTCAGGTGTTGAAGTGAACCGTTTTATACTTTATTACACACTTGTGGCTATTAAAAATAAACCCAATGTCCCCATGTGAGGACATTCTTCTTGCAAAACTACTTCCTGTTCAAAGACAGTGCTAAGTGTTTTTATACCTGTCAGGTCCTACTGACCCCAAATAGCGAAGAGAAATAAAAAAAAATGCATTCCAAACAGAAGCTCAGGTCTCACAGGCTGAAAACACAAATCTATAGTTTCATCTGTAATTTCGTCGAACAGCTGCGTTTTCAACAAGCAGGACGAAACAGTGACTTTGTCTGGGACTATTTTCAGTGGCGGAGTAATCCGCATTTTGTGCAGTGAGATATAGCAGACTCACACACAGTACTTGTGAGGAGACACATTCACTGTTGGTTTGAGTCTGAACGTGAAGACGTGTAAAATATCACCAGATTTGTGTCACAGAGACAAAAACAATGGCAGTTTATACGAGCCGTCACCCAACGTGGCGGCGTATCCATGGTAACTGGGGGTAAATAACCTGTCTGACAGTCAGGGTGATGAACTGAAGGCCTCAGTGTTGGGTACAGTAGTATTAGACGTCAGCGTGTACAGTTTGATGTCTGTTTGAATGATCTGTAACCAGCTGTCCGTCCAATCAGCTGCCAGGAACTGGTTCACTAACTCTGATTTGATGCTTTCTCAAAACACTAAAGCTTCATCAGGACGTCCTTCGCTGCAGAATGAAAGATGTTGTTGGGTTTAACTCTCTCAGATGTTTTCCCACATGTTGCAGACTCATTTTGGAACTAAAAACCTAAATGTCATCGTCATCTGGACTCGGAGCTTCAGACGTGCCGTCAGTCTGTCTGTCCATTATTTATTCTTCTTCTTCTTCTTCTTCTTCCTCCTGGTGCTACCAGTTTGGACTCGGTGTAAAAAGAATCATTGTGAAAGTGCTCTTAATGCTTTTTGGTCAAACGTGCATCACAGCGTTAAATGTACCTGGAGTCATAGAGTCGAACTTAGAGTCCTTTGAGTTTCAGTAGAACTTGTAAAAATTTTTGCTGTGAAGATGAAGCTGCTGAGACGTCTCATTAAAAACTTTGTTCTTCACACTGTCTGTATGTCGTTATTTTCTAAAGATTGGTGTCATTGCTCAGTTTATAGTGCAAGTGAGGGATGTCTTTGTGGGGGGCCCAGTGGGAGGGGGCCCCTCGGAAAGCCTGGAATGAAAAGTTTAAATTAACCGGCGACAACCGGCTTTGTGCTTTGTGTTCCTGTTAAGGTAACAGGAAGCAGACACACTCAAACACAGTGCAGGTCCCTCAGTGTCTCTCCACCTCTGCTCAGCACTGACAACAGCAGTCACTTCCTGCAGTTACAATTTCCTCTTCCTCTTCCGCCGCGGCTGAATGGACTGTTGATAATCGATACTGATCATTCGGTGGTATCGATGAGCGGTGTGTGACGGGCTGCAGTGTGGAGGTGACGTCAGAGAGGTAAGGAGGACGTGACGCTGTGATGTCGTTGGTGAGCAAAGTGAAAGTAAAGCAGCGGGGACACCGATCACAGGCTGCCGGTCTGAAACGTCCCCGCGACTGTTGGAGTGTCTCCGGTGCAGACTGACCGTCCTCAGGTCGGTGTGAAGATGATGATGATGATGATGTTGTTGATGATGATGATGATGATGTTGATGGTGGTGATGATGATGATGATGATGATGATGATGATGATGATGATTCCTTTTCAGTCTCATTCAGACACCATGAAACTCTGCCAGTGATGAGTTTTACTCAGTTTGACGTTAGTGATGATGATGATGAGGAGGAGGAGGAGGAGGATGAGCATCATTTATTTATTACACAGGCATAACTAACCGCGCGCGCGTCCGTGTATCCGCACGTGTCATACACCGACAGGAGCCACGCTGACTTTCGCTTTTGCTCACACACAGGCACGTGCACAGACAGACCCCAGGCGGTGCTGGAGCGCGTGCCCTTTGCCCCCTGACCCTTTGAGAAGACGTGTTTATTCAGTCTTTACATTTGGCCCACGGCCTCAGTCCGCAGGTACAGGTGTGTCTGCCCCTCCCTCCTCAACGTCACACAGCCGCACTCAGATCACGCGCCCTGCAGAGCAGTCACGTGTCATTGACCTGTCGTCACGGACAGTCACGTAAGGAGAGTGTTTGTCCTCAGCCTCCGCATTATTTGTGTCTGTTGTTAAATTCAAAGATGCCATTAAACATCTTGACACAGGCAGGCTAATGTGGCAGGAGCCAGCTCTCTGTCAGCTTCAGGTTCAGCAGCTGTAAATCGCTCTGGTCGAAAACTGAACTCAACCTGACACGATGTTTGTGTCTCTGAGCAGTTAAATTAAACAAATATGAGCTGCAGTTTGGGGCCGCTGTGCGTAACAAGGAGAAGGGGAGCAGTTGTGGGCCCCTTTTTAAAAAAATATACATATAATTTCTTATTTTACACACTGGCCCTTTAAGACAAACCCCAGGGTGGCCACAAACAAACACAAACACATGAAAATGAACAAACAAAAATCAGCAGCAGCTGTGATCACAACCAGCAGAACTGACTAAGTGTCCTTTACATACACTGTGTGCCACATTATTATGCAAGTTGGTGATAAGAGCATTTAACTTACAAAAATAAAAACTAAGCACCTTTTTAAACATTTTATTAATGGAAAATAATATTTTCTACAACTGTATTCAGACTTCAACAAAAACAACAGTTTTCTTTACAATTTTATACAAAACAAATCTTTTAATGTCTCTGGAACATTTCAAATATAAAGTGTTTCTCTAATCAAGTAATATCACACTGGAGATCGTGACGATATACGAGTACAACATCACGAGCTCCAGTGTGATGTTGCTTTTATACAACAGTTCAACAGTTAAATAAGCAAGGCTGATTAAGAAATGTTGAAACATGAGGACAAAATAGATAATTTAAGCATTTTATTTGTCTTCCACCAACAAAAATAGTTCCCTCAGGACTCCGCTGTCACCGTTGCTATGTAACGCAGACATGGTGCGCCGGGCACTTACTCTTTACACACATTTATCTGCACGTTTCCATTAAT